CGTTGGTTAAAAGAAGGAACTTTGAAGAGAAAAGTGAGTACTTCAAACTCCAATATTTTTACTGAAACCAGCAAGGAAAATACTGAGGCAGCTCAAGTTAATTATGAAAAATTTCAGCTGACTAATAAGAAACGCAGGTATTGTGAGGACTATTTGGCATTTGGATTCACAAGCAATGGAAATGAAGATGCTCCAGGTGCCCAGTGTGTAGTGTGCAACAAAATATTATCTAATAGTTGTTTAGTACCTGCTAAATTGCGAAGACATTTTGAAACAAATCATCCAGAATACAAAGATAAAGACATTAGTTTTTTTAAGCAAAAGCTTGAATCGCTTGAAAAAAGTAAACTCTTCATGTCAAAAATTGCCAAATCTGATAATGAAAATGCAACAGAGGCATCTTACAAAGTAAGCTATCGTATATCGCTCGCCGAAGAAGCACACACTATTGGGGAATCACTCATAAACATCATGTGCAAAAGATATTGTGATGTGTATGTTGGATCAGGAGTCTAGTAAAAAAGTTGAGGCTGTGCCACTATCAAACAATACTGTCACACGTCATATTCACGATCTTGCTGCTGAAATTGAGAAGGAGCTTATTTTTCGGCTGCATTTATGTGTTGCATATGCATTACAATTAGACGAGTCCACTGACGTTGTAGGTCTTGCAGTTCTGCTTGTATTTGTCCGTTATGATTTTAATAGTTCTATTGAAGAAGACTTACTTTTATGTGAATTTTTGCAAACCAATACAACTGGTGAGAATATATTCAATTGTATCAATAACTTTATGAAAACACATCAAATAAGCTGGGAAAAATGTGTTGATGTGTGCAGTGATGGTGCCAAAGCAATGGTAGGAACAGTGGCTGGTGCTGTAACATGAATAAAAAAAAAAAAAATGAAGCACCAAACTGCACAAGAAGTCACTGCATTCTCCACAGACACGCTCTGGTAGTTAAGAATATTTCTCCCTCTCTTAAAAATGTGTTGGACGAAGCAGTACAGATTATTAATTATATAAAAACTCGACCATTACAATCAAGACTGTTCAAAATTATGTGTGAAGATATGGGTAGTCAGCACACAGCCCTGCTTCTACATACAGAAGTCAGGTGGCTATCACAAGGAAAAGTGCTGGTTAGGATCATTTGAATTGCGTCATGAGCTCTCCGCAAATCTGATGGATCACAAATTCCAACTGTCTGATCGTTTAACAGACTTTTTGTGGTTATCTAGAGTTGCGTATCTTGCAGACATCTTTACAAAACTAAATGAAGTAAATCTGTCGCTGCAAGGAAAGAATGTAAATATTTTTAATGCGAAAGACAAAATTTTGTCATTGTCACGGAAGCTACAGTTTTTGATCTCATCTGTAGGACGAAATGATTTGGATTGTTTACCAACTCTGAATGATTTCCTTGAAGAAAATGGATACAAACTTGATGAAGATATTCGCAGCAACATTGCAGATCATCTTCACGATTTATACACGAACATCATTTAAGTATTTTCCAAACATCAATGACAACAATAACTGGATTCGAAATCCATTAAGTTTAACAGAAAAGCCAGTCAGTTTTTCTACACAAGATTATGAAAACCTAATTGAAATCACTTCAGATGGCCAATTAATACAAAAATTTAAAGAAATTTCTCTGATTACATTTTGGAGTGACTTATGTCAAAGTCAAGAATATTCATCTTTAGCTGACGAATTGCGCGTCTTGATGTTACCCTTTGCCAGTACATACTTGTGCGAAACTGGGTTCTCGAACTATGCAGCAATGAAAACGAAATACAGAAATCGACTGAATGCTGCGCCAGATATGCGAATCCAACTTTCTAGTATTAAACAAAATCAAGGCTATAATTTGGTCCAAGTCAGCTATTAGAAGACTAAAACATTGTCAATAACCATCAATATAAATACCCGTAAAAAAAATAAGAGTACACCTGCTATACTACAAAGCTTAGAAAAACTTAATTATGTTAAAAAGTAGCTTGGAAGGGAAGGCTATTGAAGTCACTTCATCAGTCTAAGAAAGGCTGAGGAGGCACAGTGAAAGAAAGATGCTGCTTTTGGAATGGGCGTGTGCTGGGGGAGTGGGAGGAGCTCCTTGAATTTTTTCTGAGTTTGAAAGGGTTCTGTGGTCAAAAAAAATTGGGAAACACTGGTCTATATTCTTGTATCCTCCTCTTAGTTAGGTACTGCATGTCGAGTCACCATCAGTGGAATGCAATAGGGGGACCATAACTGGGAGAGCAGGAGGTGGTTACCTACCTGTAACTGGAGATTCTTTTGAGATAAGGGATGTGAAAACTATCTGATAACCAAATGAGTCCCCCGCTGGCCCTGTGTTCCTTGTAGTGCTTTCGCCTCCGAAACATACGTAGCAACAGCCCTAGGGCTGTTGCTACACTTCAAAGGTGGAAGTGCCTTATCGACTAATCAAATAGTCAATGCAAATTGCACTGACTATTCGATTAGCCAAATAATCGAAATTTTACATCCCTATTTGAGAAGTGTGATCCCTATCTGTATTCCACTAGCTACCCTTGTTCCCCTCTGTTTTGAATGGGAGAAAGCACTCAGGAGGAGTGATTGGTCTGCCCTGACCTTTATCCCCTCAGTCAGAAGCACGAGTGGAGCCAGGACATGTGCATAGATCAAAGGACACTACTTTTGCATTCCCCAGCTTTAGGCTCATGATCCGCATGTGTAACCAGCAGTGGAGTAGAAATAGGGATCACATATCTTGATCCGTCCTACAGGTAAGTAACCTCTGCTTTTGGTGTAAGGGTAGGAAGAGAGAAAGTAGATTAAAATCTTGTAGAATGTTTCACAACTACATTTGATTGTATTGTAATTATAAATATGAAGACATATAAGCCTAGGCCCTGAGTTTTAATGCTTCTGTTACTTGATACACACAAGATCGTAAATGGTCAGTTTTTATAAATTTGTGTTAGTTTCTGTGGGCCTTCATAGAATATTGGAAATATTTATTCCAATCTTTGAAAAATCGTGAAGTTCTTTTACTCTTTGATATAATGATATATTTGATGCTGCTGAAAAGCACCAGATAGGCATCTGTGGAAAATTCAGCCCAGTGTTTGTCAACAGGTATAGAAAGCACATCACTAGCAGCAGTGCAAATCATTTTTTAAAAACAGTTCAATCTTGTTCTGTTGAACGGTCCTGCCAGTTCATTACTTTGCTGCCTGTTGAGTTTATTAAAAAGCATGCAAGTAGTGATACTTTTTCTTATGTGATCATCTCTCTACTAAGAATAGAATTGAGTCTACTAACTGCCAGCATTTTTTGTTACTTTAGTCACTGTTTACTTGGGTTGGATTTGAAGTGGCCTAGGTTGAAAAGCTCAGAATCACATCAGAACTATCCACTTCCGGTATCTTTTCCTAAATCCTCAGAACAATTGTTGTTTCATAGTACCTAACACCTACGTATTATAGGTAATATTATCTCTCTACTTGGTAGTTAAGAGTTAGATGAGCGCTGAAGTAATTTCTGAAGGGAGAAAACCCCCCACAGTAATGGGTATTTTATACCCAAGTGCTATGTCATAAATATATTCAGGCAATAAACCCCACTCTCTTACAATAACACAAGTGTATCATACCCTAACAAAATAGGTTTCTAGCTGCTTCATTTCTGTGACCTTTATCAAGTATCTGCATAACTTTAAGCACAAGTGGTCCCATTCAAGTGGCTCCAGGTATGAGCTTCACAGAATGCCCAATATGTTGATGGAGACAGGTGCCTTGATCCAGAGAAGCAATTAAATGTGCACAGATTTGAGCATGTGAATAATCTGATTTTAGTTCATACATGGATTGAAGAGAAATGAACTAGATCTTCTGGGATAGCTTTCCTCACTCTCTATAAAAAACCCTTTTCCTGTGGGATAACTGAGTCGTCATCACGTCACTCTGTGTCCACAGGAACCAAGCATCACCCACTCCTAGTTTCACCCTTCCCAGGGCTCATGAGAGCTGGGGTTGCCTGTGACCCAGCCGTCCTCTCCCCTTCCCAGCAATCGGGGAGAGCAGTAGCTGCTGTGGCTTTGGCCAGGAGGGGCAGGCTGCCAGGGGAGAAAGCCAGGTCCAGCGTGCCTTCGTCACCCCCCCCGTCCTGGAAGTTGGGGGATGCAGCTGGGGGTAGTTGGGTGCAACCTCGCCCTGCTGCCCCCAGCTGCGGTGGGGGGCAAATAGACTAGTGAGGAAGGAGGGTCCAAGAGCTGGGGGTGGCTGCAGAGTGGCCTCGGGGTTGGGCCCTCTCTGATGATCAGGGGCAGGGGAGGGGCTGGGGAAACCACAGACTCTCCCTGGAGAAGAGCCAGGCCCCGCATATCTGCAACCCAGCCTCTCCTGGTGTCTGGGGAGAGAGCTGGGATCAACCTCGTCCTGGCCCCCCCTTGCTGACCGTGGGGGCTCAAGAGCTGGGGCTGGCTTGGGGGTAGTAAAGAACCAGGGCAGCCTTGGGGCCAGGGAAGCTGGGGTACGGGGGGAAGAGCTGGGATCAGGGTGGCCTCAGCCCCAGGCCCTTCGTGGCCGAGAGGGAGATTGGTGAGTGCAGACAGCAGGGGGCACAGTGCCCTAGTGACTTTTATTTATAAATATTTTCCATTTGTCCAGAAATCACCTTAGCTCCCTTATGTGTTTTTAGTGAATCCAAGGAGTTGTACGAGTCATCTGGGTCTAGTCTTGCTCCCAGGTATATACAGAATATCAGCTTTCTATTTCTTTGGTAAATTGTGATAGGCTAACACACATCTAATGCATAGTCTCTACTGTGATATATACTTTGGTGCAAAGCTTGTCACCAAGTTAGCTTCATTGCCTATAAATGCAGCATTATTTAAATTAAGGGAGATATATATAGAGTGGAAAAAATAAACACAGCGCATCAGACTAATGTTTTTAAATATATAACTATGGGGAATTCATGCTTTCAAGCTTAATGCAGTACCTCAGTAACTTAGTATTTTTGTTTTTTCTTTTATAGTTTTACATGTGGCACATATAAAAAATGAGGCTGAGAACGCGGAAAGCGTCTCAGCAGTCAAATCAAATTCACACCCAACGTGCTTTGAGGACAAAGAGGAAACATTCAGAGGTAGATGAGAGCTTACCTGTTGGAGGAGGAAAACCCCAGAAGAATGAAACTGGCTTGTTGTCATCAATCAAAAAATTTATTAAAGGAAGCACACCCAAGGTATGAGCTCACTGTCTTGTTGCCTTTTTTTTTTAATTGAGTCATATTAAGCTTTTCTAAAATTTGATCAAGTATTTGTATTAAGAAAAATAAGTATTTGTAAAAGACATATTCTTATGGAGGCAGAACAGTTTTATAAGCAACAGAATATGCCCCATAATAGTGGTGTGCATGCAGGTACAGAAGTTACAATGCAAGGTTGTTGACCCTATCCAACTCTGTATGAAACAATTACAGACATTCCATTGGAGAAATAGGAAATGGCGCCTTATAAATGCAAGAAGTCAAATTCATCTATAGTGTAAGCAGGTATAATTTCCACATACCTCAGTGAATTTTGCACTTACTTACTCATCTTAGACGTGAAGTCAGGTCTAAACTACTGAATCTCTTCCAACTCCACCTATACACAGATCTGAAGAAAACAAGTTTTCATATTTAAAACTTACTCAGTGAAAATTCTCAAAGGAAGATTACATATGTTAATTTTATTGAATGAGTGCCACTTTGAAATAGTTTACAAAGTTGTTACTTTTTATAAAATTGGACCATCTTTTTAAAACCTTTCTTTAATCAGTCTTATCAGTCCAGAAGTTCTGTTATTGCAGTTTTTAAACTAAAGAAGAACCAGGATGCTAGAAACATACAGAAATGTTACAGAGAAATATACAGCAGCTAAATGTAGTTTAGATGAGAAAATGTTTTTGTTGTTAAAAGTGGCAAGTTTTATAATTTTGCATTATGGTTAAAATAGTAATTAGAGATGCAGTGAAGTTTAAAAAATTATAATTAAATTGTCTCAGAGAGCTTTGTGACTATGCAATAAAATGACAGATGAAATTCACTGTTAAGTGCAAAGGAATGCACATTAGAAAACAATCCCAACTATACATACAAACTGTTGGGTTCTAAATTAGCAGTTCACACTTGAGGAACGGATCTGAGAGTTATCATGGATAGTTCTCTGAAATAATCTTATATGCAGCAACAGTCTAAAAAGCTAACAGTGTTAGGAGCCATTAGAAAAAAGATAGTAAGACAGAAAATATCATAATGCTACTGTATAAATCTATGCTGTGCCCACAGCTTGTGTACTGCATGCAGTTCTTATTGCCCCAGCTCAAAAAAGATATGTTAAAAATGAAAAAATTACAGAGAAGGGCATAAAAAAATGATTAGGAAAACATTAAAACAGCTTCTGTGTGAGACACGGGTAAAAAAACTGGGCTCATTCATTTGAGGAAAAAGGTGACTAAGTGGGGATATAATAGAGGTCTATAAAATGATGACTGGTGTAGAGAAAATGAAGTAAGGACTGTTGTTTTACCCTTTTACATAACACAATAACTAGGGTCTCCCAATGTAATTAATAAGCAGCAGGTTTAAAACAAACATAAGGAAGTATTTCTTTATACAGTATACAGTCAGCCTATGGAGCTTTGTTTCCAGGTGATCTTGTGAAGGTCAAAAATATAATTGGGGTTAAAAAAAAATTACAGAAATTTCTGGAGGGACAGGTTCACCAATGACTATTGGCCAATAGGGTTAATGGCACAACACCATATTTCTGACTGCCTGAAGTGGGACTGGACAATAGGGGATAGACAGATCACTTGAAATTGGTTTTAATTCCCCGTGAAGCATCTGGCACTGGCCAGGATACTGGTTTCACCCCCTATAGCCATTCTTATGTTCTTACATACCATGCAGCTCAGTCTGTCCTCGGCATTTGTTCAGCACGCATTGTAATAGGAGACAGGCACTGACTTAAAGGAACTGTAAAAATATGTTCACATTTTTCTTTGCCTGTGGAAAATTCCATATTGTTAAAATGGTTTAAATTTTGCATCTCACTAAATTCAAGCAATAAATTGATTTCACTTTCTGCCTCCTATATTCTAGCAAAAACCAAGACTTGGGTTGTGAACATTTCAGGAAAATGGTGAAGTCCAAACAAAAACATTTTCATTGGAATTAAAAAAAGAAATGGAAAGATTTCTGATTATTTAGCTTTTGTCAAATTTCCCCATCCCCTTTCAAAAGTTAACAAAATTTAGGATGAATATTTATCTCCACAGGTTC